GGTACCGGTGAGGATGTGTGGGATATCACTGTTCCTTTGGTGTCTGACAGATGCAAGAATAGAGGGTACGAGAATGGAATACTCTCGACTACGATCTTCTCTTCTCCCATTAGGTTTGCTGCATAGGGTTTCTGTGTGAGGTTCTTGTGGGCTAGTGTCAATGGGCTCTTCTGGCAACCCTAAATGACGACCTGTGGCTCTGATGCCATGTTAAACAACATGCCACCATACACACCCCAAAAACGCACAGCTTGGATTCAAGAAACTGGATATTTTATGAATGAAAATCACATCACACATATTGGGCATATTTGGACCCAATATTTATAGACAAGTCTTAGGAATAGAAAAACTATACACAACCAAAACCATGCACAACACTTCCTAAACTAATGGGCTTTACAACTCATGCCCATATCATACAACTTGGGCCTACGTCATACAAAAGCACTAGATCTTATATTTAGAAAGGAGGTTGTAACTTTTAGCAGTTACTCTCTAATATGTATTTATATGTTCTTATACATCATTAGCTAATTGACAAATTCATTAACAAGTCCTTGTAGTTTACCTCAATCCTAAATTAAGTTATTTTGGTTGAATTCGACCCTTATTGTTCAATTTGTTAATTTTAATTTATAAATTTTATAAAATTTTATTTACAAAAGATGTATGTATGTTAAAAGAGTGTGAAAAATAAAAGAGATTTCATAAAGACTCCAAGAAATTTTATAGATTCAAATTGATGGATGAAACATCCTTCCTTTAACCCCTCATAGTACACGTTTGGAAGCGTTATGGTTCAAGTGAATCACGAAAAAAGCCCGTAGATTGAAACTTTTTCAATTGGTTCTCGGGTTACTATTCACTATTTAAATTTCAAATTATAGGTCCAACTTCGAAAAATCATAACTAATTCTATAAAAATCATATTGAGGTGGTTTAAAATTCTATTTGAATCTTTTTCAATTCTTGATAAGAAAAAAAAAATGTGAAACTGGACTTATCATTGTCCAATTCGTATAGTTTATTCATTAAGCATTACTATTCATTTGGTCAATTCTGGAACTTCTAGATTATGTGCCTCAACTTTAAAAATTTATATCTCCTTGTGTACATATCCAATTAAGGTGTTCTACATCTCTTTTTAAAGTTTGAAATGTGTATAACACATCTGTCAAATTTCATGGCTTAACTCATTCATTTGATAGGTCAAATTGGATCTAAAAGTTGACTGCTCCAGGACCTACATTTTATCTATTAGACAATTCTTACTTTAATTCTTTTTATTGTTTTAGCATGCATAACTTGGCCTTATCCTTTCTTATTCATTATCATACATTTTTATTCATTCCATAAACATTCTAAACAAATACAACCATCATTGGCATTCATATACATAATTTATATAATAGGAGAATTATACATAAATCCTTAACCAATCATTAACATCAATAATTCTCTGCTTTCTTCTCCTTCCTTTTCATGCTCTTTTTCATGCAATCATTGTGCATCATTGATTGACCTTGTGTCCTTAAGCTTTCTTCTTACTCCCTTTTGCTTCCAACCATTAAGGTCACTTACTCAACCACATCCAAACCTTTTCTTGGATGTATCAAGGTCTTAATCACAGCCACAAAGGTCACATTACTCATTAGGACCAAGAATTACACAATATGGAAGACACTTATGTCCTTAAACTTAATCCTTTTTTTCTTAATTTATAATATAGTGTTCTAGCTTTATAAAAATTGTTCCCTTAGGCCACTCCTACACAATTCTGCCCAAGGAATCCAAATATGAGCTTAGATTCATCAAAATCCAGCTCCTTCTCCTGGTCCTAGGCCCAAACCGAAATTTGCCACTTAATTTTCAATTTTGATTCTAATACTTCCAACTTCATCCTTTCATCTTATTCCTACCCAATTTTTCATTTTAAACACATTGGAAGCATCAAAATCATCAAAATCACATCCTAGGCACAAGAACCAGGTCTGGCTGAAACATTTCCTCAAGTTACACAATCATGAAGTTCAACCAATTTCAGCTTAAAACCACTTGACTCGTGTTGCTTTCAAGGCTTTGAATATTATTCTAATATCAATTTCATCTTTCCCTATTTTTAAAAATTTCATGCAGCATAACCCCCAGGGCTTCAAGCTCCCAAAAATCATTATAATCCATAACCAAACTCAACAACAAGGGTAGTGAAAACTACATCAAAAACCATTAACATACCTTGTTTTGGAGCTTGATCTTGCATATGACCACTTGGTCTTTCTTTCTCCCTCTTCTTTCTCTCTCTAGAAACCATTTTGCCAGAGCTTCCCCATGGTTTCCTCTAGGTTGGATGAAAATAAGAGAGGGGAGGGGTATTTATAGAAAACAAGACTAAATCTAGGCCGTTGATTTTAAAAATGTGTGGCTTGATCTAGACCATTCATTTTTTCTTTTAATCTTATGGTGACAAATTTCTCATGACATCATGCCTACATCATCAATCCACATGCTCTTAATCCAACCGTACGCGTGTCTTGTATCCGACCATACATATAATACCTACTTTTTCCTTCTAACCGTACACTTGTCTCCTCCATATTCCTTCATCATTTTGGCATTAAAATAGGGAGGAAATTAATATAAAATTAATATAAAATACAACCCTTAGGTATTCCTCTATCTATCTTGCCATTTTGCACTGTATAGGATACTTTTTCGGGTCCTAACTTTCCCGGGGCTACTGGGACATGTTATGGTACCATTTTCTCACTTCAAATAAATCCATATGGCATTATATAACATGCCCAAAGAGGGGGTGATGCTCTTCCCTTGTTCTTCTATGACAATAATTAAAATAATTAATAATATTTATTTCGGAGTGAACTTGACTGAATTCTTTCTACTGGTCTACGACTCCGAGAATCTATCTCCAGGTACCAATATTATTTATTCATCACAGGGAATTCCTCTAATTTTTCTTAAGTCAAAAGTCAATCTCTAGACATTTGACTTTGAATTTCCCCGGATAGTATGTAAATAGGCTTTAAATTCCATTAACGCCAACCTCTTCACTTTACAGGAACGGAATTATTTTTAAAACCTGTGATAATTCCTCAAGTATTTTCTCCCATTTTCTTCCAATTATTTGAGTCCTCCCTATAATTTAAATAATTTATTTTTAATAATATTCAAAATCAATCAAAACACTGGGATTTCCACAATTGCTTTCTAAGGGCATTTTCGTCATTTTTAGCCTCATATATGCCTCTGAACCTTATTCCCATTTTTTTTGGGATTTTTTTGAATTTTTTAGGCCTTAACCTACCATTTTTCATTTTCTAGGATTTTTTTTGGGATTTTTGGACATAATTTCTATTTTTGCCCTTACCAGCCCGAAAATTTGTAAAATTACAATTTTGCCCCTGGTTTGGCTTAACCTCAAAATTCACCTCATTGAAGCCTCTAACATAACCTTTAGCTTACATTTATCTCTATTTCTCATTCCTGGGCCCCGGAACTTCTTCCGAGTCCCTAACTTCCTCTTTTCTCAGTCATAGAAAACTTTCCCTTTGTGATTTAGTCCCAGGGAATTTCTGGGACCTCTGCCAAACAAGGTCTAGTAGCTTGCCTATCTCAGGCTAATTCTGGTTACTTCTAGGCCCAAAATTCAAAATGTGACAGTGGGGGTTACTCTCAGGAATGTGATGCACTTAATGAATCAAACTATTAGGACCCAACTCAAACAAAATAAACTACATAGACTTGATTCAAAATTAAGTAAATTATAAGAATTTGTAGATTAATTTTCACTTAAATAAATGTATCTTTTTTATGCTCAAAATAATAAGTTTATGTAATTGTTAAGCACGCGACTCTAAAGGGAAGAATTTAAACCTGCCATTGGTGTCAAGACATTATTGTTGATAAAAATAATTTGTATGTACGTAAGCTTCTTCTTGTTTTTTTTTTCCCCCGACAATCATCCAGTTATAAAGTCTACTACTTTGATGAGCCTTGAACTCACCTCACCTGGGAAAAAAAAAGAAAAAACTGCTATCTGCATCATGCTTTGAAGGAATACAAGTGATATAACTTTAGAAAAAGTGCAAATGACATCCTATGACCATTAAAAACAGTTTTTAAAAAGAACAAATATTGGGGTTTTGCATATATACTTAAACTAAAGCAAGTGCTCTACATTTAAATTCAATAATTTAAATTTCCTTCCTATATGATTGCTTAAATTTTGCCCGTTTTACCATTTTTCCTAACTTCTCATCACTATCCTCAATTTGAAATATTGTTTAAATCTCATCCATCCCTTAATCAAAATACATAATGGATTGTGGCCTTTATTCAATTAGTTAACCATATTTTTAAGATTAAAGCATCCTTAAAATTAGAACTCTTAATTTGTTTCTCCGTTGATGCCAAGGAGCCGGTGAGAAAAAATGAAATGAACAGTGTCACGCATATTTCAGCCTAGAATATAGTTGATAGACTTGAGGTGGACCATAATTTTTGCGAATCGTCAAGAAAAATATATAATCATGAAGTGAGAAATGATTTGTATACCGCAATAGGCCAGTGAATTCTCAAGGCTAAGGTATTTTCATTGCTGTATGATCTCTCCGAGATGAGAGATTTTTGTAATTAGATCATTTACATTAATTAGCTACTTCCTCTAGTCCTAAGTATAGGGGATTTATAAAAATTAAACAAATTAGTTATTTATAAAAAAAAATATTTGTTAATTTTTTTTTAAAATACACATTTACTCATTTGCATAGAAAATACTTACATTGAGGAAACCCACTTTAAATGTTGACAACTTAGGAAAAAGAAGTATAAATTGAAAGACAAAGTGAATTTTGGTCTTCCATCTAGGAAAGTGAATCCCTCAACTAGCTCCTACATTTGTGAACACAAGGGGGTATTATATGCAAACTCTTGCGCGTATGTGATATTTCTATACATGGATTCTTCTATAGACAGAGTGGTGATATGACAAATATATATAGCTAGTATAAAGTTCTCAACAAGCATTCACAAAGTATAAATTAAAGTAGAAATTATAAATTTACAAGAATTTAGAGAGGAATTAACACTGCAATATTGAAAAGGAGATTTCCTTACTAACTCTCAAGACTCACGCTACACAAATACATAGTAATTAATTACTAGAAGAGAGGTACATCACTGAGAAATGGCAACTACTTATTTACAGTCACTTATTGTCCTAGTAAAGCATATGTTTACTAGGATGAAAAAGACTCCTACAAAAGTAGGTCCAATAAAGTATATCAGACCACAGTGGGAATAGCAGAAATGCAAACAAGGGTATAGGTATAAAAGCAAGTGCAGAAATAAAGTCAGGAACCCACTTTGAACTATGACAATACATGATGAAAAAGGCACTACCAAATGCTATCATCATGCTTATTATAGAGATGAACAAAGCAACCAATCCAGATATGAGCTTCAAGGGTAATGACTTGCGAAAATCCTCTTCTGCATAGCGTGAGATGAGGATGGACAAGAAAATAAGTATGGAAGTTGAGGATGACATCATTGCAGCTGCATCAGATATGGCAAATATTAGGAATGATGATTTTTGCAAGTAATTAGGATTTCCTGAATTGTCGTTGATACCACCAGGTATACTAAATGCAGCTGTAAATACTCCAGTAGTAATAAGAGTGGAAACAACCATGCATTGTTCTGCTCTTTTCTTCGACCATGATTCTGCTTCTTTTAGCAAGTCTTTGTGCTCCTTTGTGAACAGTTGGCGAGGAGTTAAGTCTTCTGCATTCTTCGTCTCTATACATGATGGTAGCATTATCTTCTCCACCTCCTACCATGTCAAAAAGGATGTATACTATATGAACTATATAAAATTTACAACAAAGAGATAGATACAAGATGCATCAAGTAATAAGAACATATGTGTAAGTCATAGAGATAGACTAAATATTATTTATAGCAAATACCTCAAACCAAAGTAACTCAAAGGTCATTTGAAAAGCTGCTCCAGAAATCAAGTTTAATCGATCTAGTGGTGCCAATCTTGCAGCCATATGCAATAAGTTGTCTCCGTATTCATTATCTACGAAAGGCACTATAAAATCTTTGACCGAGCCAATGTCATGTATGAGATCGAAGATATCAGCATAACGATGTAAAACTGCAACATGAATTATGCTTCGATTTCTTTCATCAACTTCCCATATCAAATCAGGATAGGTACTCATAAGTTCAGCTAGAAACTCAAAATTTCCAACTTTTACAGCATTAAATGTTACTTGTGAAGGTACTTTTATGTTGTCCATAATCATTTGGTCATCTTTTGTAAGGAATATGCTCCACAAATGTTTTACCAGTTGAAGTTGCTGAGTTTGCCTCAAACCTGTGAAACACAGTTTATATGTATCGTAAAACCACTATATCATAATAATTTTTTTTTCTTACTTTGTGATTATGGTCACTAACATGATTTCATGAGCCGCTTTCTATATCGCTGACTTTGACAAAGAGAGCTTAAAGGCTTTCGAGCCAATATATGCAATATTGTCTCATTACTTGAACTATCCCTCTCAAAAGCTAGATTTGGATCCACTTTTAGCAACTTCAAAGCTAAATCTGCGCAAATCAATACATAAAATAATGTTTAACACAAGGTATATATGACACACCCACACACTTCAAAGTTCACTCTCGTCATCTTTTACGGTCTCATGGTTTGTTCGTGTGCGTAATATTATTACCGTAGATTCCACTGTAGACACAGTAGAACAGCAGTAGTGTCCAATCACGATATTCAAAAACTTGAATAGTTTCATGGTACAGATGCCAAGCCATTTCACTTCTTCCTTGTAAAGCTGCCATATGAAGAGGAGTGGTTCCATGAGCACCCCTTATGAACGGCAAACTCTGGTTTTTTCTCTTCATGATCTCAACAATCTGTATGTTCCCAGCTGCTGCAGCGAGGCTGAATGCAGTGTTGTCACTCATATCTTGCAATTCCAAGTCCTCTGAACTCATCCTCTTCACTAGCTCATCCACAAAGTGGACATGGTTCTTCTCGACAGCCACATGGAGCACCGTGGCCCACCCCCTGCTTATGGCGGCGCGAGCCAGACCCCAGTCTTGATCTAAGATATGCTTTGCTGCTTTCCAATCCCCTTTCACTGAAGCTTGGTAAAGGGGAACACAAAAGCTTAGGTATTTATCTCTTCGCTCTTCTGAAACAAGTTAGTTAATGGAAACTTTGTCATATATTTATGTAGATTGTAATATAAATAGAAACACACTAGAGAGAGAGAGAGAGATGAGATAAAAGATATTACGTGTGGGATCTATAAGATTAAGGTTAGGCCTCCTAAACTGAGCTGAAGCAGCCCTCTGAAGTCGTTGTACTGGTGTAGTCACATAACTTACATTTGCTCCGGCCATGTCTCTGTCAAGAAAGCACAGTATTTGTGTTCAAAAATTAGTTTGTCTCTCTGATTTGAAGCTTGGAGGATAAACATAGGTATGTTGTGCTTGAAGCTGTCTATGACATGTGAGGAAGAAAACTCTTTTTTTCTGCTCAAGGATTGGTTATTGAAGTTCTGGCTCTGCTACAGCACTCACAAAGGGCGCTCATGAGCTAACCGACCTCTTGAATCATAAAGCTGACAATTAGTTCTCTTCTCCTATTTAGAGTATAGATGCTACTGCAGCATGGTAATTCTTTTGAATAACAAAATCATACCCTTTACTCTAACACACACGCACACACACACCTCTCTTACTATTTAGATACACGAGACTTCTAGATTTATTCTGATTCTTAAATTAATTAAACATTTATTACTAAAAATATTTTAAACTTATCAAGTAGGAGCTTCTTAAAATGCAAAATTATTTATTAGAATGTAAAAAGGTAATTAAAAGTAATAATTTAGAAAAATCCTCACTGAAAATAATAATAAATAATATTTAATTTCACCTCACATAGACTGTGTGTATATTATTTTTATTTGGGAACAAGTGTCAGAAAAGAATAGGCCTCCATGAGCCAAGCAGTTGCTATGGCATGATGTCATCAAGCGAAGGTCATGCAATCGTAAGAATATGTGGTCTCGTCACTTTTCATTTGGAAAAACAAAAGCAGACGTACTGGGAAAGCAAAGCAGCGGGCGTGCTCTCTAAAATTAATATTCAATTGGAAAAAAATATATAATACTTAATTAATTTGTATAGATTAATAAAAATAGTCAACTTAGTTATATGTTAAAAACATGTATTGATTTTCTTAAAATACTCTCTTAAATTATTTAGATTAAAATTACTCTTTGATACAAACTCCCTTTAACACATGCAATTAATAGGACTAGTTTGATTAAATAATGAGGACAAAATAAATTGAGATTTTATATTTAGCAAGAAACCAGTTTGAGTGCTTATAAACAAAAGTCATGAGAACCCAAAGCTCATCAAGTCTAATTTTCAGGGTTTAGATTTGAATTTTTTATTTTTATTTGTTTAAAATAATTATTTTGATGGGTATAGAATTTAAAATAAAAATGATATCTTAACTATCATTTTTTTAAAAAATATTTTTATATAAAAATAATTAATTTAAAATTTTAAATATGAGAATTCAGATCTGGTAAATTTGGAGTGCTTATTATTTTGATAAACACCTAAACTGATTCTTATTTAGAATCAAATTTAATGTCATACTAGTTCTTATATTAGTGATCCAAACTGTTTTTATTTAGGACCAAACTTAACCTCCTACTAACTCTTACTCTTATATCTGTGACGGGAGGTAGTATTTTATATTAAGATGAAATATCAAAATTTGTGAAAACAACGCTATGAGACTAGGAGAGTGTATACATATAGGCAGAAACTGATTCAGAAGTTGGAACTTACTTTTCAGACTGATCTCTAACTAATCAACATGACGAGGAAGAGAGAATAAAGAAGACGATGATAAGATAGTAAATTTACATGTGGATCCGGTTTGCCGGCAAGCACAAGCAAAAACTCGTCTGTTTCTGAGGGGATTCAACCTCGAACAAGCTTGCCATTTAATTGCCAGATTCCACAGCTAATCACAACCACAGCCCAGAACACAGATTAATTAAACATCACATCAAACACCTCTCTCTCTCTATCTCTCTCTCTCTAAGACACAAACTAGCCAACCCATCCAGATGAATATATAGCCTCTCAAGTAATTTGAAAGAGACTGACCAGAGAGGGATGTTAATTAACGATGCAAGGTGCGTGAATACTAAAAGCAAATTCAGAAAAGCTCAAGGTTTTTTGGTCTTTCCCCCTCTTCTAATTGGACTGAGTTAAAAAAAAACAGTAATTAACAAGAGAGAAACAAGATTTGAATAAATTACCTGAAAGTAGAGGAGAGATGGATCTGAAGATAATACTCAAAGAAGGGGGAAGCAAATACATATCAGAATCTATCATCAGAGAAACTACACAAACCAACCCAACTATTCAAAGTCAAGTCTACCATAGTCTAGTCCAGCACTAAGTTTTAAATTATTGTTAGTACAGCCCCACAATCATTGTGCTTTATTCCTATATATACGTTAAGATGAAGAACAATAATGAATATATTTTTGCTTTTATCCTTATTAATTAAACCAACGCTTGGTGGTTATCAAGTATCATTTCTCTCGCACAAAAAATTATCCGCACATGTCGTTTGTGTGTGCATCAAAATTTTAAATATAACTTATCCGATTTTTAGTGTGTCATGTCATATAGCACTGTTAATTCATCCCTAAATTATACCTATACCCTTGTTTGCGTTTTTGCTTTATTTCATCTCTGGTCTGCTATAATGGTTTATTCTACTCACTTCTGTAGGAAACTTTTGGCTTAGTTTATTCGTAAAATTCTAATTTGTACTTCAGTTTATACTCTGTGAATGTGTGCGTGATGAGAACTCTATGCTAGCTATATACTCTCTTAGTTATTTCTCACCCCATCCGTTTAGCTTTTGGCTATTTCTCCCCTCTCCTCTTTTTCTCTTTTGTGGTGCGTTCGTTGTGCCACTATAGATTTAGACTTTAGTAGTCCAACCTCTGCATGGTGCACTAATAATAAGAAAGCACTCATAACAAAAGTAAATCCTTATTATCTCAAACTGTGAATGCTTAGGGAGAACTCTATGCTAGCTATATATTTGGGACATAGCCAAAATCATCTGTAGAAGAAAATATGTGAAATAAAAAGTCAATCCTTCCACAAATCGTACAAGACATGGAAGTAAAATGCAGCGAAGCTTCAGAAAAGGCATAGGAAAAGGAGAAATACTTAGATACTCCCAGCGTACCTGCCCATCTAGACACTGTCCAATAAGAACGAGACGACTCAGATAGTTTTAATGCATGTGTCACTCAACTCATTTCTATTAATTTATTTTTAAAAAAAATAAAAATGCCTAGGTCATTGTGATTTCCATTACTGCCCTCCCTTCATTCTTTCTCAATCCTTCTCCCTTGTTCCCCGTCTTTCCTCTCACTTCACTCTTGCTCCGCCCTTCCCCTCATCACCCCTCTTTCTTCTTTTGTATTTATATCTTATCTTTAACCATGTTATACAGTTTGATTTTTGAATGAATGATCTCCAGCTGCCGCGTTTTGTGTGCATTTGTTGAATTAAAGATCTTTCTTGCATGGTTATTTTATTTGCACTTCTAAAACTGAACTCAATAAGATCTTGACTCCATGCCCGAAGCCAAAGCACCATGGACATTGAAGAGCCCAGAAATCTAATTTACAACCAAAAATCAAATGAAAATAAAAAACCATTTCCCAGCACCCATGGACATTGAAGAACCCAAAAAAGTGCACAAGGAAGAAGAGAAAAAAAAAAAATCTATTGATGGTCCAGGTCTGCATCGCAGTGGTGGAGACAATGAAGAAGCAGAAACATTGTTGACTCAGATCCGCAAAATGGAAAGGGCTAAAAAAGACAACCGAACTGACCGAGTGACCTACAACCTATCAATGGTTTCTGACTAGTTGCCATGTGAGAGTCGCTAGGAAAGACGAGAATCACCGTGGTCGTTGGTGGATATCGTTGCCGGGGTCGTCGGTGCATATCGAGAATTTCCACCGCAGTCGTTAGTAGAGAGTGTCCGCCGCCCTTGTCAGTGGAGAGTCGCCCCGCCGTCGCTGGTGGAGAGTTGCTGATGAGGAGATCGAAGATGGAGGAATGGAGAATCTGAGAGAGCAAAATGGAGACACATGTGAAGGGAGGGCAGTAATGGAAGTCAAGGTACCTTGGCATTTTTAATTTTTTAAAACAACAAATTAATAAATGAACTGGTACCAAGTATTTCTCAGGGAAAAGACAGGTGTGGGTGGGGCCTGCTTTCGTCCTCTTCCATTGCGTCGTTGAACTTTGTTCTTTTAAATATTCTTTGGTGGATGTGATATTTCAGCCGTGTTCATCCGATAACCATCCGAAAGTTTATGATTAAAAATTGGCCATCACAAAGTCTTCATGCGATTGAATGGAACGGCAACCTTAAAAACCATTCGGTTCTTCAGAAACCGCTTCGGTTTCCGGTTCCATTCTGGGTTCCGGTTCAAATGCCGGTTTAAGACTGCTCAAAACGGCTCAAACTCTCAGACGGTCCAAATATAAAGACCAAACCGCTCAGATAAACGGTCGACGGCAGGACCGGTCCGGTCCGGCTTTCAATACACTGGATTAAGCATCTTTACACTGTTAATATACGATTCTTTCTTTTATTTTTCATATAACACATACATTTCATTTTTTAAAATTTTTATTTTCTATTTCTTAAATAAGTCGCTTCATTCAAATCATTTTTTTCTGCACTGGATAGAAAAAATAATAAATTTGGGTGTATCTTTTGTTGAGACTTTTTAATCCAATTGATACCAACCAACTCTTCTAGCAAATTTTTTTTTTAAACTGTGAGGTCTTTTTTTTTTTTTTGGTTCCAAGTGAGGCCGTATATCCAAATGTGTAACATAACATACTAATTTCTTCTAGAAGATAAGGTAACTGTTTAAAGTCTATATGGTGTGGTCAACGGGAATAGAAGTGGGCCAGTTTATGTACGATAATTGTCAAGTTAGGTTGCCACAAATTGATCAATTTCCTAATAACTTAATGTAATATAACTATACTGTAATATAATATTTTAATATAAAGAGAATTATGTTATGATATCATTTCAAATCACATATATTCTAATCTTATATTATTTCAAGTTGGATTACAATGAGTTGTTTGACATTATTAAATTATTAAATTATGTTATAAAGCCACGTGTCATTGCTTGTGCCCTAGCTGGTCATTCTTAATTTCTCACACAAAATTGTGACTCGTTATTACTTGCTGTACGTATAACTTATCTTCTTTTATGTGAATTTCCTAGTTGAATTTTACACTTTTCTTAGTTTATTTGTTTTATATAGACCCAATTAATACTGCTGTAATGCAATATTTTGATATAAGAGAATTGTCATATCTAGTACTTTCGTTTGTTAATGATGACAATGTAATTCATTAATAAATGTACTCTCACTTGTTATGTTACTGTATGATATGCGATCTCATTACAAGCATTCTATGACTCAATTCAATTACACAACCTCACTTGAAAATTTAATTTCATTAACAAATAATTTCAATAAAAGCGATTTAAATTTATTTTCCAAGCAAGGTCCATACGTACATTTGTAACTCCTGAACTATGCGTTAGCCTTAATTAAAAGTTACTTATTATAACATTGGACTGCATATGTATGAATCACAAAAGGTTCATTTTCTCATTCTAGCTTATATTTTCTCATTCTACCCTATATCTTTTATCATGATCTTCTATCATCGCATGAAATACACTTACATGAATGAAAAATTAAAAATAAAGTTGAGAAATTGATTTCAAGATTATTATATTAAACTTTTTTAAAAAATTATGAAATTTTCCTCACTAGCTAAACCTGCGATTCAATATTTCTGAAGATATATATTATATCGGAAAAATAAGAGATGGCATACCATAAAAAATTTAAAAAACAAAAAAACAAAAGAAAGTCATGCAATTTCTGTGATGTGAACTACTGATTTTATCTAAAAATTGGTAACGATTAGGTGGAACAAAGGGCGTGAAATTAAAGTCAACTAGGACAAACTTAAAACAATAATACCACCTCCTATTCTAAATATAAGAATTAATTTATAATATAAATATACTACAAATTAATTTTTATATTTAGAATTGTAACTAGTACTTCTCGTCAATAAAAATTGAAAAGAATAAAAAGATGCGGATGAAAAACGGAGGTGAAAACCGTACAAGTAAGTTTTGTTTTGTTTGTTTTTGTTTTTCAAAGACAAGGAAGAAAGCCATGTTTATCTTTTTCATCTTCACATTGATGCGCAACGCATAATATGGCAACACATGTTCTTATCATCCCAACTTTCCTACTTTTCAAAAGAAAAATCTTATCGTACCTGACCCGGGCACCGACTCCTATCCTAACGTGAAGTGTCTCCCACCCACGACAAAAAAGGAGCGGTAAAAAAAAAAAAAAAAAAAAAAAAAAAAGATACGTCAGTATGATGTTTTTTAAAGTAAAAATTAGATATCATTACTAACAAAACAAGGTTAGAACAAGAGGCTTTTAATCGCCTTCATCAAATTTCACCTCTTGGTTAAGAGGTGATCGCACCACTGCAAAATCAGCTTTTAACCATATTTATTAACGGCAGTATTTTGACAACGAGCAGCAAAAAAAAAAAAAAAAGCTGTAATATTTTTATAATTAAAGTGAAGTAATTTTTGTTCCTTACAGCGGTTATAATAACCACCATAAAAAGTTCAAATGTGACATTGTAAAAAAGCAACGTCAGCTTCGACTTTTTATGGCATGTGAAAAAATGCTGTGGTTTATACTTTTTACTGCGAGAAAATAAATGCCGTGGAAAATATTTTTCGCAGCTGTTATTGCTAAAACTACTGTAAAAAGTTTTTCAAAATGCTTTTAACCCAGCCTGCGCATTACCTTTTCACTTACATGCACTATTCTGCCGACCTCGACCCCACTTGAAAGGTGCTCCCACACCAAACTTCGACGTTTCCCTTAAGTTTCCAGCGAAACCACCGCCTTCTGTCACTCTCACCATTGGGCCTGTTTGGATCAGTGGTTAAAAAAAGTAATTTATTTTTAATCTGACTTTTAAAAAAATAAGATTAGATAAAAGTTAAATTGGAAGGTGAATTGTATTTGGATTAGTTTTAAAAAGTTAGTTTGTAAAAGTAAGATTGATAAAAAGTTGTTTGGATTATGATTGAATAAGTAAGTTTATTTTGTGAAATTACTAAAATAGGTATGACTTTCATTAAATAATAAAAAATAAAAAATAATTTACATAATACAATAGTTTTAATTATTTTAATATGAAGAAGTTAAATTTAATGAATAAAATATCTTTATATTAGATATCTCTGAAAATTTTTGAACTAAATAATATTAGATAATTAATTAAATGATATATTTGTGTACAATTTATATAAATATAAAATAAAAATAATTTAAAAAATTAGAAATATTCTAAAAAAAACTATGTTAAATGAGCATGTATGTATATGCAAGGGAAGACAGACCTGCTGTAAAGATTTACATTGGGTGCTCATCAGATCTGGACGGTCCAGATTTATTTTTATTTTTATTTTTATTTTTTAAAAGTGTTTATTTTAATAGGTATAGGA